CCAAAACATCTTTTTCAGAACACAGGTATTAAAAGTAGTCATTCCATTGATCTTTCTTCTAATTTTTGTCTCCCCAAAGACAGTAGAATAAATCTGACCTCACATTCCTACATACATATACCACAGTGAATCTCACCAACACGTACATCCATAAGACACGAATTTAAAAAAAAAAAAAAAAAACTAAAATAGCAGAAAGATCAGTAGAATAGAGGGAAGGGAACAAGGCGTGGGAGGAAGGGATGGGAAGGGGAAGTGCTGGGGACTGAATTAGAACAAATTATACTGCATGTTTTTATAATTATGTCAAAATAAATTCTATTGTCATGTGTAGCTAAAAAGAATCAATTAAAAAAGGGAAAAAGAAGTTGCTATTTAGAGGTACATTAATGAAAGCCATAGTCAAAGATGACTACTTATTTCTAGAAAACTTGAAAGAATATAGCAAATATGATAAACTGCAGATCTCACTAAAAGAAAATAAACAATTCTTAAAAAAAAACAACAGTAAAGTCACTTCCCAAGTAACACTGTTAATGCAGGGTTTTGAGGGATCATTTCCTTTTTTACTAATGTAACCATATTTGACTTTTCTTCTTGATGTGTGAGGCTCACAAAGCCTAATCAGCAACTGAGAGTTGGCAGATCATATTTTGTGCCTAGAACCCTGTTTTCTGAAACACATCTAGTCTGCCCATTCTTTCTAGAATTAGCCAAGCCTAGTTTTGTTGTTGTTGTTGTTGTTGTTTCCTAACTCAGAAGCCATAAATGTGCACTCAAGGATTACTCACTCACCTTCCTACCCCTATTCAGGTGTTAGAGCCTTAAGGAGAGTTAACCCCTAAAAACAGTGTTATTCCAGGGAAGGAGAATTGGAATAAGCGTTAATCATAAGGGAAGGAATGAAAATGTTCTCTGCAGCTGAAATTCCATCCATGTTCCATAAATACTGAGTTTATGTTTGCCATTATACCTTTGGTCTTTCTTAAAAAGGGACGCTCCAGGAAAATAATGCTAAGATCTCTCTTCTCTGTAGAAAAGCTACAGCTCCACACTAAGAGGAATGCCATCTTCTATAAAGAATGGAATCATCAGTGACCAAGAATTACTGCCCAGGAGAAATTCATTAATATTAAAACTAAAGCCAGACCCACTTCAGCACACCGACAGCCAGAACAGTGATATGGAGCAGTATTTTAGAGAATGGTTTTCTAAACCAGCTGACCTGCACGGGGTTATACTGCCGCATCTCTCTGGAACACACATAAAACTGTGGAAACTGTGCTACTTCCGCTGGATCCCCGAGGCTCAGATCAACCTTGGGGGCTCCATCACTGCCTTTCACAAGCTTTCCCTTCTGGCTGATGAAGTTGATGTGCTCAGTAGGATGCTGCGGCAGCAGCGGAGCGGCCCCTTAGAAGCCTGCTATGCAGAGCTGGACCACAGCAGGATGTATTTCAGAACCAGCGGCCCTCATGACACCTCCGGGACACCAGAGTTTCTCTCCTCTTCCTTTCCGTTTTCTCCTGTAGGAAATCTGTGCAGACGAAGTATTTCAGGAACGCCATTAAGCAAATTTTTAAGTGGGGCCAAAATATGGTTATCTACTGAGACACTTGCAAATGAAGACTAAAATGTAGTATTTTCTGAACATTTGAAGGGAAGCTCTATAAATTTTTCCCTCTGAATCAAAAATTGTTAACCTAGGCATTTAAAACTGATAATTTTATATATAAGAATAATAGATGAAATTTGCACTAATATTTTAAAAATATGTTGAATCACTCTCCCTTTACAGTGGCTTTAAGAGAAATGTAATTTTTGTTTTTTATGTTCTCTAGCATTAGAGTTCTTTCTGGCTTATTTTAGGTGATGTGCAGACAACATTCTCCATTCTTTTAACTATGATCAAACCAATCAGGTTTTCTCTACTATATTTATTTTGTCTGCATAATCCATTCTTTGTACCCCCTACTAAAGCTTACTAGATACTTGGTTGGATTACCAACCTAAAGAAGTAGACATCAGGAAAGTTAAGAAATTAGTATTTAGTATATTTCCAGGAATCTCTAGGAAAACCCCCAAAAGACTTTAGTAGGTATTCCTGTATTTTTTCTGGTCACTTTCTGTTTCTCAAATTGAGCTCAATTCATTCATTATTTTGAGACCAAATTTATTATTTTAGATCACCTTGTTTGGGTACTTAGATTACTGTGTTTTGAAATCATGAGCTTGCTTTTAACTCCACAGGACTAACTTTAAAACAGTGTGTACTGTAACTTTCAAGTATTCACTGTAGATAATAAAACAAGTGCCTTTGACATTAAGATATGAATAACACAGGAAATCTAATTTCACTTTTTAAAATTAGGAGGTTAAAATACTGAAAATAGGTTTTTCATACTAAGCTTCATAACAGTAGCCAGGAGTTCCCAAAGTAAATTTCTGTCCCTTTGAAAATCACTGAGGACACAGCAGCCTGAGTTCTAATCCTGAGAAGTTTGTCAGGCCATCCAGCCCTAGCTCTGGCAGACTGGTTCCTAGACAGTAGAGTGCTATCTGCATAGACCGCAAGGCCTGCTTGGAGGCATCCCTGTCAGCATTCCCAGCCTGGTGAAGTGTTGCTGGCAGGCACACCATGGAAATAACTAGTGAAGTCACAAGTCAGGGCACCTGCACAGAAGTGCTTCTCCTAAAGTTCTTAATGCTTACAAATAAAGAACAGGAGAAATAAAAGTGTACTTCTCTCAAAATACTGCTGTTCTAATACAAAGAACTCCCTCACATGCTTTCCTGACTTTTGACAGCAATATTAAGAGGAGACCAATAAATTTAAAAAGGTATATTCCTGATCTGAAATTCCCATTTTCAAACTATAAGAACCTAGCCAAGGTCCAAGCTTAAGCTCCTTAAAATGGTGCTGCTGGTAGTGGCATTTAGTGCCATTCCCCCCAACAAACCCTCATCTGCTTAAAAGATATATGTATTCAAATCTGACTATGTTAAAGTTCCTTAAACTGCCATCTTAAGAATTTTGAAAAAAAAAATTATAGTGAAGTATCTAGTTAGCTTATTTCCTTTCCCCAAACAAGTTTTTTTCAGGATAGTTTTACCTATATGTGTACTAAACAGCTATTTCTACTTTGTTTGCCTTTTAAAAATTGTTTTTTCTTAAGTGTCTTAGGAAATTTATCATTTTGTGGATAAACGCAATGTTTTTAAAGCCAACTTGTTGCGTAGAAAACAAGAACTATTTTCAGTATGTACAAATAACATTATTGTCACTAAAGATTTTATAATCCTTGATTAGAAACCAGCCCCAACCCTTTTAAGACACCATAGTATTTTCTGCTATTGAAATTTTAATAATAATTCCCCCTTCTTCACTAAGCTGCTTTTTTATTATTATAAATTGTTCTAAATTTATTTTTTGAATTGAACACCTATTTCTGTATAATTTTCTTTCCTCACACATTTATTTCAACTCCTTTAGATTTTTATGTGTGTGTGTGAATTTATAAGTTTAAAAAAGATTAGGTACTATTAATACTGTTTTAAAATAGAAAAATGCATATTTTTGTATGATAATCAAATGTAGTAAAATATGGGGTTTGTCTTATTTTTACTGAATAGTTGTTATTATCATGATTATTGTGTCACAGTTCATTGTGCATAATATGAAAAACAACTATTAACAGCCTTAAGTCTGGGCCATTATAAAGCTGCTTGGCATCTCTACGAACAAAAATGACACTGTGGTGACAGAAATGGTAAGTATGGCTGCGTGCAATGTACCAAAGAGAGCTCAACACCCCTAGTCCCCGTGGCCCTGTGGAGCCTGTGGTGATGGAATCCAGGCAAAGGCCAGATGGCATTGGACTTCCTAGTGTTGGACTTGAAGATGTACAGTGTCTCACTGTTGTTTTATGATGGGAACCAATTTTAAAACCAAAATTGTCTGACTAACTTTATTTAAGGAAAGGATATTAATTTGTACTAACATGGTGAAAACTGTTCAACACAACTTTCAACAAAATCTTCTTGCTGTGGCAGTAACCTCAAGTAGTAAAAACTTGACTTAGAAAACAAAACCTTTGTGCCTAAAACTGATGACTTGAGTTGAAGTAGGACGAGTAGGAAAGATCTTGTTCAGCAGAATGAATGTGAAGGAAATTTTGATGCTGAATAAAATTTCCATGAAATTATTTGTCATAATTATTAATATGAAATATGCCAGAGCACAGTGACTGAAGATGTGTAAATACCTCTCTTACCTATACATACTGCTTCATTCACACAGGGTTTTGCTTGCCCTCTAAAATGGAGTCATGATCAGTAACAATTTTTACATTTTAGAAATGGCTGTATTTAGGCCATGTGGGTAGTAATAGACCATGCCCTAACTGGTCCTTCCATTTAATAAACACAAAAACTGGGAGTTAAGTTTCTCCCAGAAGTTCCCAGTCTATGGGAGACCAAGGACTCTAGCCCACATCCTGGGCCTAGCATTTATTTAAATCACCTTTCTACCTGCTTGAGACCCAACAATGGTGATGAGCAGCCTTATTTCAACATAGAGGATGAGGAGGTACAACTGCCTTGAAAAATACTGCTCATGCTGTTGGCGATCTTGCCCTAACTGGTAATAGCAAGCATCTACAGATGCTGTACTATAAGAAGTTAAGAAATTCAAGAGAACTGTATAATTCCTGAGGCAATCTGAATCTGCACTGTTGTTTCTGCCCTTCTTGAGTAGTCACAAAACAAGAATATTTAACAGCTAAATGTGTAAAAGAGTATAGAAAGACTTGAATTCAAGGATCTTCGTTTCCAAATTGTTACTTTTATAGAAGACCTAAGCTGAAAGCTATGAACTATGTTTGCATTTTTGTTTTTGCTTTTATTTTTCTTAAGTCTAATTTATTGGCATAGATGTATCCAGCTCCTAAAATGGCCAACAGGGTTTTGACCATTTATAAAAAAGACCATTACCCACTGTGTGGGATCAATTCATGTATTTCAAACAGACACCAAGTTCTCCGAGATACAGACACTATACAATGATCAATTAGTAATTCAGGTTTATAACTGACGATAAAATCAAAATTAAATACAATGTAATACTACTTTATGCTTTTAAAAATATTACTGTATAACTAAATATTCCCAATTTGATGGCTTTAGCTGAGGCCTTTGCTCTTAGCTCCAACTGCAACCACATGGCAGACTTCTACTTCAGCCCCCAACTTCTGCAGTTCATCCAACCAGATCATTTGCTTTTGTGAAAGTCGATCACTGGGGCCTTTAACTTCTACAAGCTGGAAGATAAATTTTTAAAAATTAGTATTCTACTGAAACTTTTTAAAAATTAGTATTTTACTGAAACTGAACAGTTACCCAGATGTTAGCTATAGTCATTTTCACTGACAATTATTTATAAATGGCTTACTCTATTACACTACTCTTTACATATACAAAGCAATACATATGTAAAAAAAATTGAGAAATATTTCTGTTCTGTAGAAACTAGGCAGTTATTCATAAGGAATTTGCAAATTGATTCTTAGTATAAAATTATTGAAAATTTATTTTAAAGCAAATATTACAGTTATTCCCCTATTTAAAACCATCCAATTACTTGTTATATTTACAACTGAATCTAAATTTCTTATCCTAACCTACAAAACTAGGATCTGGGCCCTACCAATCATTCCAAAGGCCTCCTTTCAGATTAACCTATGCCCTTTCCAAGGGCCCTCACACTATTCCTCTATTAAAGGACATTTCTCCCTGTTTTTCATATGCCTGATTTATTATCTTTCAAGCAGCTTAAACCTATCTCACAGGTCCACCATATCTCTAAGGAGATGGATAGAGCTTCATGTACTTATTTATTTCATGGCAATCTATAGATATTTTTATTACAGATCAGTTCCATAAAGGCAGGAGCTCTGTCAGTTCTGTTCACTGCACACTACTGAACTAGGAGACAGAAATAAAAACAATCCCAGGGGAAGTATAGAAAAAACTTTATAACAGTATTCTGTAGCCTAATGGACATTTAGAGTCCCCAAGGGAGAGAGAGGAGAAAAAAAATTATTTTTACTGAGTAATGGCCAAAATTTTTCCAGATATGATGAAAACTAGAAACACAAAACTTTAATGAACCCAAGCACAGAAATATCAAGAATAGTACACTACACTAAGAAATACAATGATTAAAAAGTATAATCATCAATAAAGGGATTATCTTTAGAAACAACCAGGATTTTTAAAATTCTAGCTAGAAGAGAGTGAACCAGTATTTTAAAAGTATTAAAAGAACTGTCAACACAGAATTCTGTGCACAGAGAAAATAATCTTCCAAAAATAATGGCTAAATAAAGACTTTTCAGAAGTCCTACAAGACCTAAAAAATATGATTGGAAGACCTCTGCTTCAAGAAGATGTTAAAGGAAATTTTTCAACTAGGAAAATGATACCAAAGGGAAATGTGAATCTGTACAAAGGAATAACAAGCGATAGAACTGGTCTACGTGTGTAAATAGACCCATTAATTATTTAACTCAGTTGCAGAAAGCAAAAATAATGTGTTACGGAATTTGTTACGTGTAGAAGTGAAATGCATGAGAACACAAATGCTAGGAGGGAGATAGATATAAGAATAATCTGTTGCACAGTTATTCATACCATACATGAAATGGTGTAGTATCACTTGAAGGTGGACAGTAACTTTTAAGATTAGTACGACCATGTAAGAAATACAACAGAGTTGTATCCTATAAGTTAAGGTAAAAAATGCAATCTTTAAAAGAAAAAGAAGAAAAGGGAGAACAAAAGAGACCTGAGACAAAGAGAAAACAAGTATTAAGATTCAAAACCAAGCATTTCAGTAATTACATTAAATTTAAATATTCCAGACACCACGATTAAAGGCAAAAGTTAGGCTGGATTAAAAAGACTAAAAGGAGGGGGCTGGGGTTGTAGCTCAGTTGGTAGAGTGCTTGCCTTGTATGCACAAGGCCCTGGGTTCAATCCCCAGCACTACCAAAAAAAAACAAAATTAAAAAAAGACTAAAAGGCAAGATGCAATTATATGCTGCCTATAAGAAACTCATAGAAATATAAAGATAAAATAGGTTAAAAGTGAAAGAATGGAAGCCAAACGTGGTGGTGTACACCTATAATCCCAGTAGCTATTTTGGAGGCAGGAGGATCCTGAGTTTGAAGCCAGCCTCAGCAAAAGCAAGGCACTAAGCAATTCAGTGCTGGGGATGTGATTTGGTGGTCAAGTGCCCCTGAGTTCAACCCCCAATGCCTCCCCCCAAACAGTACAAGTGTGGAAAAAGATGTATCATATTAACACTAATCAAATGAATGCTGAGAAATTTGATTTCTAAATTAAAAAAAAATTATCAGGAATAAAGGAAGGGCATTTCAAAATGATAAAAGGGTTGATTTGTCAAAAGGACCTGACAATCCTAAATTTATGCATCTAATCCTAATTTCAAAATGCATGAAGCAAATATTGATAGAGATGCAAGAAGAAACATACAAATTCACAGTTATAATCAGAGATGTTAATGTTCTTCTCTCAAAAGTTTATAGAGCAAGTTAATAAGGAACAGTAAGGACACAGAAAACTCAAACAACAGTATAAATCAACCTGAGATAATTGATTGACATTTTAAAATACTGTTCCTCTTTCCCAACAAGTTAAACACATATTTAAGTTTGCAAATAGAAGAGTCACCAAAGCAAACCGTGTAAGACTATATAAAACGTCTAAGTCTCAAATTTGCTAGGATCCTAGTCAAATAAAACATGCCCTTTGATTTTAGTAGGAGGAAACCACAAATCAACAGCTGAAAGATAACTGGATAAATTGACTCACTTGTAATCAAGTCGTGGTTCAAAAAAGAAATCAAAAGGGAAAGAAGAAAGTTGTGGGTTTTTCTTTTTTCTGTTTTTCTGGGTGCTAGGGAATCAAACTCAGGACCCTGCATACAAGCACTCTACTACTGAGCTACATCCCCAGTTCCAAAAAAGTATTTTGGACTGAATGAAAATGAAAACAACATATCAGATTTGTGAGATTCAGGTAAAGCAGTGCTTATAAAGAAATGTATAGTGCTAAACACCTTTATTAGAAACTTTTTAAAAATTGTTCTTTTTAGATATACATAACATTTTGACATATTATACACACATGGAGTTTCACTGATTGTGTATTTATATATGAACATAGGAAAGTTATGTCTGATTCATTCTACTGTCTTTCCTATTCCTTTCCCCTCTCCCTTCTCTTCATTTCCCTTTGTCTAATCCAATGAACTTCTATTAGAAAAAGAAACTTTTTCTTTTTTTGCAAATGACAAAGCAAATTTACTTCCCAAATACATTGTGTTTTCCTATGAATAATCCAATATAATCGACAAAGAAATAATCAGTAACTTTATTGAGCATAATAAGTAAGTTTAGGAAACTGACCAAACATAATATTAAGGTGTAACCATGCACCAGTACTACATAATTAGAATATGATATTTGAAAATGGACTTATAAAAAGAAACTTTCAAAGTAATGATTACAACTTCCTCTCTAAGAAACCATAAATAACAATTAAATCCAAAGTAATCAGAAGAATGGAACTTATAAAGAGAAGTGCAGAAATCAATGAAACAAAGACATTAGAGAAAAATCAATGATAACAAAAGCTGGTTCTTTGAGAAAAATCAATAGAATTGATAAATCTCCCACCAGATAGGTCACAAAAAGAAAAGATACAGACCGCTAATATCAGAATAAAAGCATGATAGAAATAATGATTCTACAGATATTTAAATAACAAGGAGAAACAGGAACAATTTTATGCCAAAAAAATTCAACAACTTACATGAAATGGACAACTTCTCAAAAGACACAAACTCCCAAAGTTCAATCAATATAACATGAATAGCTCTATGTTGATTAAAAAAGAAATGTAGAGTTTTGAAGTTTCCCAAAAAGAAAACTCCAGGCCTGTTAGGCTTCCCTGTTTAATTCCACCGAAGATTTTATGGACTAATAATAATTGTAAACAAACTATTCCTGAAGACCAAAAATGTTATTTTCCATCCCATTCTATAAAGGCCAGTAATATATTGCCCTGAAACCAAAACTCAACAAAGATATTATAAGAAAACTACAGATCAATATCTTTCATGAACATATATGCAAAAATTATAATATTTTACAAAATCAAATCCACACTTTATCACAATTATTATGTGAGGCTTATCTAAGAAATGCAAGTTAGGTTGTAAGATTGAAAAATCAAGTAGTAGAGCATTTACCCAGCATACAGGAGGCCCTGGGTTTGATCCCCAGCACCGCAAAAACAAAACAAATAAATAAAGATTCCAAACCAGGCTCTTCTGGGAAATGAGGCACAGTGAAATCACCTGGAAGATGAACCATCATGGCCCAGAGGAACTGCAGAATCTTCAGAAAGACTTTAGGATACAGAATAAATCTATCTGCATTCTGGGTACCAGAAGAGAGAAACTTGCTGAAATGATCTTAAAAACAATCCTAGAACTGAGCCAGTTTTCCAAAGTGTTTCCAGTTTTCTCACTGGCTGGAGAAAGCTGACTTTTGATGAGGAAGCCCATGATACTGTGCATGAAGCAGTGGTAGACATTGTAAAGTTGGATGCTTTCAAAGTCACGATGTTGGATACTGTTGTCTGGGTACCAGAAAAGTACCCAGGATGGAAAAATTTGTTTGACTAAGATTATGTGCTAAAGTCTGCCACGTTATCCAGAGTAGAAGGGTGCAAACATTTCAACCTGCTTTTATCCAAAGGAACAGATAAGTTGAGCAATTTTTAATATGTACAAGTGGAAGCCAGGGCTAAAGAAATATTTAATTTTATTGTTACTGAGTACTTAGGCCTGGAGTTCTATTAAAAAACAGGCAAGAATCTCACTGGAGTGAATGGTCGATCGGGAAGTTCTTGAGACTCTTGGGCCTCTGGCTGCTCTTGGCCTGTGGTAACTTGTGGCTAGAGTGATGTTGAACAGCTGTTGAGATCAAGCAATGAGTAGATGGAATTCTGAATAAAAGGGCCAGCCAAGACTTGAGGAAGCCAACAGTTTCCTTAAGCCATAGCCATAATGAAGAAATGCTTCTTACTGTGAAGCTCAATACCCATCACCAATTTCTGGGTCTAAGATGTCTTTACTTTTGTCACTTCAGTATCCTCAGCCACCCATACCAATCAAGAAAGGATTGTGTTCTATATCACTGGTTCAAGCCTGATTGTACACACCCTCACTCACACCCTTTGAATCATAATTTGGGGGATGTGGACACAGCAATCTGTAGTTTTCTGTTGCTTTTTTTTTTTTTTGTACCAGAGACTGAACTCAGGGGCACTGGACAACTGAGACACATCCCAGCCCTATTTTATATTTTGTTTAGAGACAGGGTCTCACTGAGTTGCTTAGCACCTGCTATTGCTGAGGCTGGCTCTGAACTCAGGATCCTTCTGCCTCAGCCTCCCGAGCCACTGAGATTACAGGCATGTGCCACCGTGCATAGCAGGAATCTGTAGTTTTCTTTGAACTTCCTTGGGTGGTTCTGATAACCACTGTTTGGAAGGCCTTATGTACTATCTCAATGAGCTCTGCTGTACAGTTTACAACAGTCCTGTCTTTGACTTATACAAGTACTAATTAACTATACATAACTGCTTACCTGACTATTGTGTGCCTTTTTAACTTCTTTAGAATATGTAATAAAATATTTAAAGATTCAAAAACCAATGTAAATTATGTTATTAACATAGTAAAGAGAAAATCATATAATAATGTCAAATTTTTAAATATTTTTCATTGCAGATGGACACAATGCCTTTATCTTATTTATTTACTTTAATGTAGTGCTACGGATCAAACTGAGTGCCTCTCATGAGTGAGGCAAGCACTCCACCACTAAGCCACAACCCCAGCCCTAATTTTTTAAAAACATTTGACAAAATCCAACTAACTCCTGATAAAAACTCTTAGAAAACTTAGATATAAAGGGAAATCTCTTAATCTGATAAAATGTACTTACAAAATATCTGCATCTGACACAATACTTAATAATGAAAGACTAAGAGCTTTCCCTTAAGATCAGAAACAAGGGATGCCAGTCTTCCCACTTACAGTCTATATAGGAGGTTCTGCCAGTGCAATGACTGATTGCACTTTCCTGACTAGGAAAGAGGAAAGAAAATATCAATACTAGAAAGGAAGAAATTAAGACTCTCTTTCTTAGCAGACAATCTGAATGCTAATGTAGAAAATCCAATGAAATACACCAAAAAATTTTCAGAATACAAATCAATGTGCAAGAATCAACTATATTTCTATAAAGTAGGAGCAAGCAACTGGAAGTTGAATAAATAGCATCAAAAATATAAAATACTTAGTAAGGATCAATTTATATTTTAATTTCTCTTAGAAAAGTTTTTAGTTTTCAGTGTTTAGGTTTTGTATATCTCTTAAGAGGTTGATCCTTACTAAATATTTTATATTTTTGATGCTGCTTATTCAACTTTCAGTTTGCTTGCTGCTACTGTATAGAAATATAATTGATTCTTGCATATTGATTTGTATTCTAAAAACTTGATATGTCCTTTTATTAGTTTAAGGACCTTTTTGATATCTGACACCAAAAATATGATCCATTAAAGAAAGGTAAGCTGAATTTTGTCAAGATTTAATAATTCTGCTCTTCCAAGAAAATGAAAAGAGAAGCCATAGACCTAGATGAAATATAACCAAGACTTGTATCCAGGAAATATATATATATCATATAATATATATAATATACACACAAGTTTATTTTTAATCTCGAAACTCAATAAAAAGCAAGCAACCAACCAGTGCAGCATATCAGGGCAGGGTTCAGAGTAGGCAAGTAATGTACCCCATGGACAACAACTGAGGAGGTGCTCACTCTCAGGGAGCATAGCAAAGCTCTTTGTGTCTATACCCTATGGGACCCACTCCCTCTGAGTGTGTGCCGGACCTGGTGACTTATTCTGAGAACAGAAACAGCAAGAGTGATGGATTGCCCCTTCCATGATGAAGGTGCAGGAGACCTGGCCTTCCATCAGGCTCAATGGCTCCTCTCACTCACCTGCTCTGATGAAACAAGCTACTTTGTGGTGCACAGCCTAAGGGAGGACACCCCCTGCCCAAACCCCTGCCCTCGGCCCAGGAGCTCTTGAGGAAATCAGTTTTGGAAGCAGCCACACAAGTAGTGTCTAAAGTGAGGCCTCTGATTCAGCAGCAAACAAAATTACAAACATAACTTTCCATTCTGGTTCCACTGACCTTAAAGCGGTGATTCTGGGAGTTCCATACCACCAAGTCAGGGAGGCCCCCTCGGCAGTGTCGGAAGTCAGCAGCCAGTCGCCTGCACACACCACTGAGGATGGGACCCCCCAAGCAGGAGACAAGATCCTGAACACAAAACACATGAATAGTTAGCCTCTTTCCTTAGGCGGAGATCCTCAAATAGGCTTCAGCAACTATGAGACAAAGAACAACTCCAGAGTAGTTCAACAGAAATGGATTCCAGGTACACCAGAGGTTGTTTTGCTGCTTATAGAGGGACCAGAGCCACTGCCAAAAATCCCCACTAATGAACTCTGGGGAACCAGTTCTCTTCAATCAGTTATCAGGCTTCTGCCCTGTGTGAACATCCTGGGGAACATCTGAGGAAGAAGGAACTTTAGAGTCAGAACTCAGGAATATGACTGCAATGACTCATAGAGGCCAGTAGTTAAAAAGAGACAGAAAAGAGTCCTGTCAAGCAAAAAGAAGCTATCTGTGTGTATGTGTGTGTCCCTCTTTCTTTCTCTCTCTGTCTCTCTCTCTCACACACACACACCTGTGTGCATTTTGATAGTTGCCAAAAGGACACCCCGGACCAGGGAGACATCACTTTGGGACCAGCTCTTGCCATACAGATGAACTGTTACCTGAGCCTGCCGAAGAGAAGTGAAGCGGTCCCAGCTGACAAGAGAAGCCACTCTGCCTTCCTGGGCCTGCCATGTGGCTGCCACCCAGGCTCGCAGGTTCTCTGCAGGGGCACTGTGAATCATCTGCAGTCTGGCCTCAAGGGCTGGGCCCCTGCTGGTGAAGAAGCTGTCTGTGCACAAGTCCAGTGGGGATGCCTGTGTCACAGAGAAAGCAAGCTCTCACAGCATGCCTAGAGAGCAGACTCCTCAACAATACTCAAAACCTATGCAATTTGGAAAATGGCCAGTTGGTTGAAACATTCTTCTTCTCAAAAGGTTTGCAAAAATTATCTGATATATATAACCAATACGAAAGGAATTTATTACACAAGTGGGTGTGAATCACAGGCGCATGCAGAAGGGTCTCCTCATGAGGCAGCACTGACGACTTACCTGGTAGGCGTTTCTGAAGACGTCTGGTATCCCATCCATGAAGATTATATCCCACAGAAGGAGGCCATACAGGGTGCTGAAGGTAGACCCTTCTCCATGGATCCCTGCAACAAATCATACACATGGAGGAAAAATCAGTTTTGTCTGTTTTCTTTTTCGAAAATGCCACTGTTATCTGCTGCATATTCAATTTCAAGGAAATAATAAATATTTTTAGTCTGAAGAAAATGCTAGTTTCATGCCATTCCTAAATCATTTTCTTATACTATATTATTTGCATACAGAAGCCCACTGAAGGGTGAAAATCTTAGTAATCATGGAAAAGTTCAAATGAACATTGCAAAGCCACAAAGCAGAGTTTTTCACTTTGGTGAATAACCTAAGGAACATGTTTTCTTAAAAAAAAAATACTAATAATAAAAAAGCAGGTTCCCTCCTCAGCTCTGATTTAGTGGTGGAGGCTGAGCTGGGTGCAGAATCCACAAGCAGGCTCTGTGTCAGGCATCCCCCAATATCCCTCAAGAACATGTCCATAAAGGGACTGACAGGAGGAGACTGGGGAGCAGTGGCCATGTCCACACCTCCAGACTTAGCAGGTGCTGCTACACTTCACCTCACTTACCTACACACTATGTTGCTTTGGCCTGAACAAGGTCTTCCCAGTGTTTCCAGTATTCAAGGCTTTTATAGAAGCTTTCAGTCTTAAAAACCATTTAATTTAGATACTCCATCCTCATGTCCCACACACATTACTAACTGGGAGACCACCTCAGAGAAAGAAATAAAGTGCCAGATCACTGAAAGCCAAAGGCAGAGTCCATAACCGGATAAGAGTGGGCTTTGGCTGTTTTGCTAAATGGGATACCATTAAATGGGTTGGTCATTCATCCACCAACCATTCTTTACCTCTCCTTTGGCTGATATTTTTCATTCCATAATAAAATTAACTTAATTTTAAAAAAATGGGTTTTGGCATAGCCCCATACCTCTGTCCCCAGAGAGTTCCTGTTTGCCGAGCTATTCTAAGCTGAGCTTCTCTGTATATCACCACACCCAAAAGGGAAGGCAACCACATGGATACCTCTCTGCACATTACTGCTTTGGCTAAAGGAGGCACCAAACAACAGACCCCACTTCTGACACACTATGCACACTGGCAAGAAAGTTCCTCTAGCTGGCCAGACTCTTGACACTGCAGGCCCTGGTCCACATGTGTAAGGCCACAATGAGCACAGGGCAGAAAGCCGAGACAAGACAACACCACTCATCTGCTTGGGAGGCTGGCCTGAGGGGCTGCTTGCTCACTATGTGCCTTCCTGGGTCTGCCATGTGGCTGCCACCCAGGCTCGCAGGTTCTCTGCAGGGACACTGTGAATCATCTGCAGTGTGGCCTCATGGGCACAAAAAAGTGCTCTTAGGACAGAGACCAGAGTCTCCATCAGCAGCAGTATATGACCTGTTCCTCTGTCCTGCATTCCTGAGCTGTGCCAGACTCTTTGTTCTGTCCCTGTCTTAGTTCTAGCCCCTGGTCTCTGCAGCCTGTCTCTATGATTCAAAAGAACAGAGGCAAAAACAGGACTTGTTTGGAGCCACTGGCTAAAGCCTTGAACTTTACTAAAAAGCTTTGTACCAGGATACTGGGCTCCTGTCCTGCCAGGAAGAAAGTTAGGCCTTGACTTCTAATCAGCTTCCTGTCCTTTTGTATATACTGCTCAGTCAAGAATATGGAGGCCAGAATTGTTCCTGAACTTCTTGGCAAGCCACATGATGCATGTGGACTCCAACTGAAGTCATTTTTGGTGCAATCCTTCTGAGAAATTCAGAAATAACCATCCCTAAAGGGGTTTGAGATTACCCTTATGTGAAATCCCCTCTAGACTAAAGCCCAGCAAGTATTCAGCTCATTTTCATTGCATCAATATTAAAAAATGAAAAATATATTCATACAGAAATATATTTTTATAAAAACTATTTAGTATTCTATGAAGAGAATTTTCCAACTGTTTGTCAGGGTAACGGCTTGGTTTACAGCCTGCCCTTTCTTTCAGCAACTGCCCAGCTTTCACATCTCCTATGACATTATCTGGGAGCTGGAATTCTCATTCTGTTCTTTTCTGTCTAGCCTTTTCAGGCCTATTGTATCTCTGTTTTCACTGGCCTCCACACTTCCTCCCCAATAGCATCACCCTTCCCTATAATAAAGATTATATAGATTAATCTTAGCACTCACCAGAAAGAAACCCATATTTTATAAAATTCTATCTTGTAGTTATCCTTCTAAAACTGTCATTAATCTGAACACTCACATGATGCTGAAGTGGAGTAATGTCTTTGATTTTTACCTATCTGAAGATATCAGAGTGTTTTTCACACTAGTGACCCTACAGCACAGGCACAGGGAAAATGCTGCCTGGATGTGAGGATGGGAAAGACTTGTCCCCAGGAGTGGCCCATGTGAGCTGCAAAACAAGTACCATGAGAGGACACCTGGGGTCAGCTTCCAAATTCCAGGGGAAATTGGTAGGAAAAGAGAGAAAGAAGACGAGAGCTGGGTGAGTTTTGAAGATCAGAAATGTTTTCCAGTTTTTTTTTTTTTATTTTTTTTTTTTTAGTTGTAGTTGGACACAATACCTTTATTTTCATTTGTTTTTATTTTTATGTGGTGTTGAGGATTGAACACAGCACCTCACGTGTGCTAGGTGAGCGTTCTATCACTGAGCCACAACCCCAGCCCCAAGGTTTTCCACTTTTGCAGAGTCATGGTCACTATCCTCCATAATAAAAAGTTTCATAAAAATAAAAAATCAAAACAAAACATTAGAGCCAGGCCCTCAGGGTATCTCCAGGACAACTAGCCCTACTTTATTCCTTATCTTAAATATAGAATAAAGGAGCTTCCTCTGTAATTCTTCCCTCCTTGATTTACTTTTATTTTTCTACTCAGTACTAGATTCTACTAAGGGCCAGGAATGACAATTTTATTTTACCAATTATAAGGCAAGTAAGTGCTCAATGTCTTCACTTGACCCTGAACCTTAGATAAAGCACTGAATTTACAGTTCATTCTCTGAGACCAAAATCAAAGAAAGAATAAAAGAGGGGAAGAGAAGCTGATGTATACCCAAACAGAAGGAGTTTCTAAGTGACCTAAGAAATGAGTCAGTTATTTTGTAAAAAATGAAACCCTTATCTGTTGTTATGTAATAGTGCTTATGACAAGAGACATCCAAAGCAGCTCTCATTCTGAGTGACTCCACAAACAAACAGCCTGCACAAGCAGGATCCAACCATAACACATGTGATCCACAACTGTGCCTCACTCCTGGGAGGTACAGCCATGGCCAACAGGCCCTTCTGGGCTATGGTACGGGAGGGCTCATCCTCTATCATGTCTGTGCATACAAGGAAGAAGCCCTAAGAGGAAAGCTAACACCTCAAATCTATTAACTGAGTGAAATGCCTGCAACAACCATGATATGAAAAGGAAGAGCAAGCACATTTAAACTAACTCATGTATATTTTTCTCAAATGGCCAGTCCCAGCTCCAAAATATGAACTTTGTCATAGTCAAATGTGTACTTCCTCTCTTAGACCTGCTCGGCATATTCATTAACTCACCAGGTGGAGCCCCCAGAGATTGACTGAAATACCCTAACACTCTTAAGAACAGCACACAGTTGGGCAGGAGGCAACCAGAGGTCAGCTCCACTCATTCTTGAGTCGAAAGGTAGAGGGACAATGGATTCTCCAAGGAAATGAGGTAGCAGGACTTGGGGTCCAAGTTCATTACTCTAGGAGGAGCAGATCCTTCAAGCTCCTTTCATTTATGACCTGATTCTGGGTCTGATAACCCTCTCAGAAGCAGCCCAGCCCTCAGTCTCTGCACCAGGTTTGACATCAGGCAGCCTCTCTGGCAGTCCTCTGCCCTTTCTTTTTTGTTTTATACCGGGGATTGAAGTCAGGGGCACTTGACCACTGAGTCACATCCCCAACCCGATTTTGTATTTTATTTAGAGACAGGGTCTCACTGAGTTGCTTAGTACCTCACGGTTGCTGAGGCTGGCTTTGAACTTGCTATTCTCCTATCTCAGCCTCCCCAGCCGCTGGGACTGTAGGCAAGTGCCACAGCACCCGGCATCCTCTGCCCTTTCTTACTGCTCACTAACAGCTATGACAGCAAAGACAGTCTCTAATGTCCCACCAGAGAACACTGATCTTCACAGGCATTAGGTGGGGAATACTGGGGAATGGGAAGAAGACCCCCTTTAAAAACTGTAGCTAGTAAAACTCTTTTCTATACCCCTTGATCAACAGTACCTTTTTTTTTTCCCCCAGCAGTACAGAGGATTGAACAGGGCCCAGTATATGCCAGGTTAAGTATTCTACCAAGGAACTACATCCTCAGCCCTTTTTATTTTATTTCAGTATAGGGTCTCACCAAGTTGTTGAGGCTAGCATCAAACTTGTGATCCTCACAAGCAGCTGGGCCCGGCTTAGCAGTGTATTCTACCATGGGCAGAGGAAAGAGAGATGATGGCAACCCATAATTGACAAACCATCAGGAAATGCTGTTCGCCTACACGCTGATTGTCTGGAATAGGTGAAATGTTTTCTGTTTACCCTGGTCAAAGCCGTTGCATCTGTAATAGTCCAGCGCCAGCTCCTCCACAGAGCATAGTACTGTGGTGGGGTTAGCAGTATCCCCAGACTCCATGACAAATACAGACTTGCCCATCCCACGCTGTGGGCACAGCCTGCCCGTGATGGTCACCTGGGACAGCAACAGAAGAACATCCATTAGCTTCACTTCACCTCAAAGTACCTGTAAACCTGCCGGTAGAATCCTGGGGATAAACCTTCCTAATGCTAAAGCTGTGCTTTTAACAGAGTACAAAGTGTGTGACCCACACTGGCACATCTATAAGGTTCTGGCCTTTGGAAAGCATCTGTCATGGGAGGAACTCTCCAGATCCCCCACTTCCAGGAGAAACCACCAGATGTTCTGAGCTCCTACTCAAAAGTTCAATCACTTAATTCAGGTGTGACCACACCAGCTGACCCATTCTTATTAGGGAGAGAGTATTAGAGTGAAAATGGGAGCAATGGCCATGTCATTATCCAAAATGCACATTAGACTGTTCCATTTCCTAATAAAAATGCACACTAAAACTGTTCTTAGGTTGCTTTCAGTCAGAAAAACAAACAAACAAGAAAACGTGTTTAAATCCAAAGCACACAAAAAGGGCTGAGGAGGATGATCAGTTGTAGAGCATGCACTTAAAACCACAATACCCTGGGTTCAATCCAGTACTCAAGACAAACAAAGCACCCAAAGGAAACTACTTACATGTTTAACATCTTCGACAGCAATTTCTGGCAGCTGATGAAAGAGGTGCTTATACTTTTTACAGCTTGGAGACTCTCGCAGGCGCATGGCTCTCTGATAAAGTGAAAGACGGTGTCCTGTCCTTACCTCTGGATCTGCCAGCCCTTTAATAATGCACTTGATAGCCTAGTAAATAACATGTCACATATCAAGATCCTAAAAAACCCTAAGGCAGCATCTACTAATTTAGCTTAACAGAGTAAGAAAATTTCACTACTAATTATTCAGTTTTACTAATATGCAAGTAAGCAAATAGCAAGCTATTTTCTTAGATCTTATTCTGATATTTTTAACATACAGATTAACTATAATCCTCATTGTTAAGTGCAGGAGCACAACCAGCATGCTATTCATTATTCATGGGGACAGAACATCCCATGGCCCCTTCCTCACCAAGAGCATGTCCCTCAGGACATCCCTGCATCATGGGCTAGAAAAAAATTTAGAGGAACACTTGGGTCTATGGTTCTCTGGTTCTCAGAATTTCTTCTGGGTGAGGGGCAGTGAAAGAAAATGTGTCCCACCCTTGATCTACAAAATGAGATGAACTCCACAACAGGCACCTAGGAAACTGACCAGTCAAAACTTCTAGGTGGCTCTCATGTAGAGTCAGGACCGCAGAGCTGGGCCCAATTCCTTATTTACAGGAAAGGTACCTAGAGTTTGGAGGAGTGTAACATGTTTCCCAAGGTTGTTCCAAGTTGGACAAATAAACAAAGAGAAATACTGAAAACTAGAGAAAGATACCACTTTATTCCTGCTACGATGGGTGAAATCAGAAAATAATAAGCGTTGGCAAGGATATAGAAATTGAAACCTTTGTTCCTTGTTGATGGAAATATAAAAACTGAAAACACTCTGAAGAACAGTTTGGCAGTTTCTGAAGCAACTAAAATAAAATTACCAAAATGACCCAAAAATCCACACCTAGGAATATTCCAAAAGAAATCAAAACAGGGACATAGACATACACTTGTACATGCATGTTCATGGGGGCATTATTAAAAACAGCCAAAAGGTGGAAGCAACCCAAGCATCCGTTTATAGGTGACTGGATAAATCAAAGGAGGTTTATATACAATGAATTATTTATAATTCAGCCATAAAAATGAAGTTATGACATGCTGCAACATGGATGAAGCTTGGAAACATTATGCTAAGTGAAATAATTCAGACACAAAAGGGCAAATATTGTGTGATTCAGCTTTTCTGAAATATACACAAGAGGCACATTCACAGAAAGTAAAGTGAGGTTTGTGGAAGGAGAAAACAGAGAGAATTTACATAATGATTACAGAGTTTCTGTTTGGAGTGATAGACACTAGAGTAATGCTTGTACAACATGGCATAATCAATGCCACTGAATTGTACACTTAAAATTTGTTAAAATGACAAATTTTACATATGTTACATATATCTTACAATTAAAAAAATTTTAAAAAGAGAGAAAAGAAACTGAAATATCAACGAAGGCTCGGGCCATGAGGAACTGAGGGGATAAAAGGAGTCAACAGTGAGATCGTGCCATCTGAGAGTGTTCTGTACCTTGGCAGGAGACAGCAGGCAGCAGAGGCCTGGAACAGGGAGGGAATAGCCAGACTAGCTCCACCCTGGCTCTGGGGCCCCTGGCTGGCCCCTGGCAATCTGCAAGAATAAGCACTCTTGCTAATGGCTTCTGCTCTAGGGACTGACATAAAGCACATAAGGAATAGTAACATGATCATGAGGGCTGTGAGTGTAGCCAGTGAGATTGCTGAGAAAGGTTAAAAGGAACTATAAGTTTCTTACTATCAATCAAAAATAAGCTCAGTAGCCTATCTGCCCCTGTGACTCTGAGGGAAGGCTCCTGTGAGCAGCACTGTGAACCAGGGAGAGAGCCGCAACATCCTTGAGCCTTTACGTGAAGAAAGCAGCAGCAAGAGCACAAGCTTTGTCTCTTTCACGCTTGGTGCTGGGCCAAGAGACGCCTTCTCTTGCTACTGTAGCCTCAAAGAACATTGGCAGGAAAGGGGGCACCATGCCCACCTCCACAACAAAACAGCTTCCAGTGGCTTTTCACAGGTACCTGAAGTAACAAGGCACTTTTTCAGTGGAAGGCAGCAAAAACACTACATCACAGTTCCACATTCCATGGCCAATTTTTTCCACTCCTGTATCACCCTGATTCATTTAATATGCCACTGGAAAAAACAAAACCTCCCAGAGGCACAGTTCCCTCCATTCAACTTGAATTCAGGCTGGAATGTAGACAGGGAGGGGGACCCACAGGCAGCAACACAAAGAGCCACTGTTGTCGCCTGGCTCAGCAGCAGCAGCTCTGAAGCCCCACCCTGCTGGATATAGTGGCAGCAGAATCCCTCTACTTCCAAGTCCCCAAGATGCCCAGAATAGGGAGCCCTGGTGCCCTCAAGAGGTGGTGGCCTGATTACAGTTGAGACAACACATGTCCCAGGGGCACAGCAAAATACCTCACAGAAGTACAAAGAGTTATTCATAAAGCACTTGCAGTTAAGATAAGGAAAGTAACATTTCCGTCAAGGCAACAAGCAAATAAAATCACTATTTCCAAAACAAAAACATTACCTTAGGTACTGGGGATGTAACTTCCTGAAAATACTTGCATAGCATGAGTAAGGTTGTGGGTTCCATCCCCAGCACCACAAAACAAAAACAAAACAAAACACACTGTCGTGAAGGCACCTGTTGAGGACTGATCGTCTCCCCTGAGTTCTAGATTCTAACTCCTGAATCCCAACACAGTCCACTGTCAACCCATCTTCTAAATAATGGAAGAGAAGATAGCAGTCTCCTGTCTTTAAAGGTTGTGGTATTTCTACTTGGATTGGAAGAAGTCAGAATGTTAACAAAAGAAATAAATGTTCTAATTATATTCAGAATATAACAGGCTGGAGGTATAGCTGCGGGTATAGCTCAGTGGTAACTGCTTGCATAGTAAGTGCAAGGTCCTGGGTTTGACCCCCAGCACCAAAATGAATGGATAAAGTACTTAATAATTTGCAATATTTAAAAAACTCATTCAGAAGTAACAAAAGCATTGGGTATATTTTTGCATACCGGTTCCAAGCGCTTCAAGTGCTGGTGTAAGTTAAGAGCCAGTCGATCCCACCATCTGCCTCTGCTATCAGGGCAATAAATTTTCTGTGACAAAAGGTTTTCAAGTTCCTTAACAGCTTCCTATTGCAACAATAACAGAGAAAGCCCATTAGACTTAAAAAAAAAAAAAAAAATTCAAGTGTAATTTTATTTAGAAGACACCAGGACCATAAAGTATATTTATAATGCGTATCTTTCTAAAGCCAAGGATCAGGGCTGACAGAAGAAGTGCTTGGAGATGCCCTTCTGCAGTAGACATGAATTCCCTGAGGTTTCCTTGTTTTATAGACAGGTCATCTACAGGCTAGAACTGGGTTTTTGGTGGCCGTGGGTACCGAAGGACATTCTCTTCAAGTCACACTGGCCAGCACAGAAGCAGAAACACTGGTCAGGGCTGAAAAACTTACATACTTATGGGAACCCAGCAGGTCAGAGGACCCACAGAAAGAAGAATTTAAGGCAGGCAGGCCGGTGATAACGGGTGTGCTCATCCAAACACTCCACTTCAACAAGAAGACTCTCTGGTCAAGATATATGCAGACTCTTCAGTCATTCTTTTTTTGGGTGGGGGGGTGTGGGTAGGGGCAGCAGGTACCAGGGATTGAACTCGGGGGCACTCAACCACTGAGTCACATCCCCAGCCCTATTTTATATTTTATTTAGAGACAGGGTCTCACTGAGTTGCTTAGTATCTTGCTCTTGCTGAGGTTGGCTTTTAACTAGCAATCCTCCTGCCTCAGCCTCCCAAGCCGCTGGGATTATTGCTCTTGCTGACGCTGGCTTTGAACTAGCAATCCTCCTGCCTCAGCCTCCCAAGCCGCACCACCACATCCAGCTCTTCAGTCATTCTTAATCTTCTGTGGTTCATATCTCTTTCAAACATGTAATGTTTACCCCAGAAAAATACAAAACTCTTGTATACATGCAATTCTGGGGTTCACAGATGCCCTAAAACTCATCATTGATATTCTTTGAGATTAACAGATCCCAGGTTAATACCCAGCTTAGTATATCCTCTTCACAAAAATATCATTCTTCAACAAAAATATCAAGTACAACAAAAGGGAGCTCTGGCAACTTCACTATGTTTAGTATGAAAACCCAATCATATTTCTGATTTGTAACTGTAGATTATTTTCAGATAATCCATGGCAGCTGACAGGGAAGCTTAAGGAGACTTGAGAGTTCCATCTCAGTGATTTGGGGAAATCTCCCAAGTCCAAGTCTTGCACAAAGTTCTGAAAGAGATTGAGTCGTAGGCTGTAGAGACCTGTCCATGATCTCTACTGGGCTTTGTCCACGACCATTCCAGTACAGTGACTCATTAACTCACGAGCAAACAAAACAGCTGTTGGTCTTCAGCTGTCCTTTTTCTACTAACCCGAGAGACAGCAGGTTACTTACATTAAACACTCTCATTGTGTTACTGTGTGATGACCATGTATGCAGCAAAGCAGAGAGCCTAGTAGGTTTCCTTCACATGTTTATTGCTGCCGTCTCAGAATAGGGTAGGGGAGGGACTGGTGCTCTAACCTCATACATGTGAAGTCTCTGCAAGATTTCAACAGTCCGAGACAAAATCCTTGTATATATCCACCCGACTGTAAAACACCGCAGAAAGAGTGGTAATTCCTCATGGTATCTAAAATAAAAATGTATACCAGTACATTTAGTTTATTTGTTATATACAATTATAAGTGAAAAGCAGATCCAATTCCTATATATTATTTTTTATTTTGTTCTTATCCTAGGGATATGAACCCAGGGATACTCTACTACTGAGCTACAACCCCAGCCCTTTCTATTTTTTACTTTGAGACAGGGTTTCACTAAATTGCTGACGTTGGCCTTGAACTTGGGATCCCCTTGCTTCAGCCTGAGTAGCTGGGATTCTAGGTATGTGCCACCATACTCAGCTGAATTCTTGTCTTTTAAGTATTCTAAATACTTCCAATTATATACAATTTCTTACACCACAAACCTACATTCTCATAACTAGTCACCCTATCCCAGGTCACTCAGATGGCACAGAGAGATGAGAACAATATGTAATATTCTAAATCAAGGTCAGCAAACCCCAGCCCACAGGGCAAACCCAGGGCCAACTCCCTAATTTTCTAAGCTAAAATGGCTTTTACCTTTTTAAAAAATATATATTATAAAATGTATTTTGTATTTCTTTTTCTGTATGCATTGCTATTACCTATTTTTGTTTTTAACCAACACATAAACCCACAAAAACTGTACAACTTAGTGGAGTACTATGTATTGTTTCGGTGACCATGTAAAAATCAGGTTAAACATACCTATCTCTTCAAACATCAATTATCTGTTTATGAAAAACACATTCAAAATCCTTCTAATTTTTTGAGATGAACAGTTCAAAATTTCTTTCTTTCTTTTCTTTTTTCTTTTTATAGTTGTAGATAGATGGACAGAATGCCTTTATTTTACTTGTTTTATTTTTATGTGGTGCTGAGGATGAAACCTAGTGCCTCATGCATGCTAGGCAAGAGCTCTGCCACTGAGCTACAGCCCCAGCCCACAATCATTTTCTTTATCAAGCTACTTCTTACTGCTATCAAACTATAACTTAGTACTCCTTGGTCAACTTTTCTCCAGTCCTTCCTCCTCCTAGAATTTTACCATTTTAAATAAAATATACCAAAAGGAGAATAATACCCCAAGGCATGTGAAAATTAAAATGGAACTCAAATTTCAATGCCTATATAATACAGTTTTCTAGAACACAGCCATGCTCATTCATTTCTTTCTCTCCAGTACCTGTTTCTACACAATGGCAGAGTAAAGTCGCTACCACACAAAATCAAAGCCTTGAGTATGAATTCTCTGGCCTTTCATAGAGGAAGGTTCTCAGTCTGTTCTACAGTAATCTAACTTCCTGACTATGATTTTCATTATAAATGTTTCCTAAATGTTTTTCTGAAAGAGGCACTGATCACCATACAACAATAAAGGAAAACATTTCTTAATAAATACCAAAGATGTTTAAAATTTATTAAACTAAACAATAAAAGATCACACTTTGTGCTCTTGGAACTTTTAGTGCTCACTTACACTGTCTTGAGTTTTCACTGCAAAAACCTACCTATTACATGCCACATCTCTGTCCTGCTGCTGGGTTTCCCTATCATTTAAATTCAGCTCTCTGATACTCAGGGAAGCCAACACGCTCAAAGATGGGAAGCTAAACACTGAGTAAGTATTCACTTGAATGTCTATTGTTCAAGGATCTGAGTTATATAAAATTTGCTTAACTCTTCATGGGGAAAACATTCAAAATCCAGTAGAAACTTACAGCTCTACCCTGGTTTGACCAAAGACCAACTGGAGCATAATATTCATGAATAAAATTACCTTGAGTAGTTGGAACAAAATGATCAACAATAAATTTTGGCAGGTATCTTAAAAAAAAAAAAAAAAATCTTGCTAAAGGTCTGGCTCAGTGGTAGAGCTCTTGCTTAACATGTGAGGCCCTGAGTTCCATTCCCAGCACTGAAGAAGGAGGAAAAAAAAAAACTCTAACCTTAGGGAAGGGTGATTTTTCAGTTTGTTCCAATCCCTTTTTGCACTTTGAGAGAGCTCCTTAGCTTCTTCCCAGTTCCCACTGGCCATCTCGGTAGAAATGTCACTCAGCATGTGCGCAGCTGCTGCATATCTGGGGAAAAATGCCATCCAAATTTCAAATGTTAAGGAGTGTTTCCATAAAAATTACTGCATCCTAGCTGCTAGATCTAACTCTGAAGGATAAAAGTGTGTTTTTTTTAAATGTGAAGGTTATTTAAATTTTATTCTAGCACTAATTTAACATAACTGGAAAGGCCCTAAAGAACTGATATAGGCTGCCCAATTTACACTGTATGATAACATAATACATTTCACTATATAAATGTGATGTGATATTAATCAGTTCATCATTCCTAAGTTTTGAGATTCTTCCATTCATTCAACAATTTGGCAGCCACCAAATAAATACATAATTGACTTCAGAATTATAAGAAAATGTCAATTTGATAATTTAATCATTTGCAGTCAAAGGTAGCCAGAGGTATGCATTCCAAGTTAAGAGAATTACTTAGAGGTTGGGGTTGTAGCTCAGTGGTTGAGCGCTTGCATAGCATGTGTGAGGCACTGGGTTTAATCCTCAGCACCACATAAAAATAAAATAAAGGTATTATTTCCACCTACAACTAAAAAAATAAGTGTTAAAGAAAAAGAGAATTACTTAGATTATTTCGAATATAACTAGGAATTCACTGTAGGAGACAGCAATGCTGAAACTTTATACACCATTTAGCTGAAAAAATATGACTTTTCACTTTTCTAGATATCAAAATTAAAAACATTTGACCAGTGGATTCGGTAGCACTTTTGAGTACATATTCACTGTATTTGACTCATGTCTTAAAGCATGTAGTACCAGTATGTACAAACACTACACATTAAGAGGAAAGGAAAATGACTCCAAATGTAAAAATCTGCTTACAAACTCTTAGATCTAATAATTTTCATGACTTTGCAAATGGATAATCCTGAGGTAAAAAAAAAAAAACAAACAGAAATCACAACCTGCTTGATCCATACTCCAATTCCAAGAGGCCACCTGAAATCATCCCTGTCAAACTTCACCCATCTCCTTCCATCAACACCAGGCCAACCCTTGTCACAATCTGGACTCATCATGTGGTGCCTATCACTTATCTGACTCAAACTGGAATTGCTAAACTGGGAACAGCATTCTCCTTCACATCCCCAGGTTCTTCCCTCCACCCTGCCTTCTTACACAGGACACTCCAATGGTCTCAACTCAGGGCTGGGACACATAGATGAGTCCCTTCCACTGACTGCGAATCCCAAATCATTCTCCTACACACTTGGAAACCCACATTCCTGGGAGGCCCCTGCCTCCCTTAGGGCATGTGACTCCTAGACAGATTATCTTCTACCATTTTCTGAAACTGCTACCTACTTCCTTTCTCTACCTCTGTTTCCTATAACAATGGCCTGGTGACTTTGACATCAATGAGGGCAAAGAACACTCTTAGATCCTAGACCTTCTCACCAATAATCACTTTTCCACCTGTCTTCCACTGCCAATGTGCCAACAGCTGTGGAGACTTCTGTCTCCAATCTACATGTCATCCTCAAAAACCTTGACTTTCAGCATTTAATCCACTAAGCAAGACCCACCCCCCACAAAGCTTTCCAGCTCATTTATTGCTGATAATTCCTCCCACTCTCTAAGACCGTAGCTGGTACTCTGACCATCATTATCTATCAGTCACAGGTCTCCTGTCCTTCCAGCCTGCATACCCAACCAGAGCATTTTAGCCTAGCTCTCCCTGAGAAACACGCCTTTTTTACCTGGGCCACAGTCATGGTGTGCACACTGACCACTTCCTCATAGCCTGAGCCCAGGGCTCTGAATGTTGCTGAAGAAAATACATAACCAGGCTGACTGGTTTTGCTTGACTCATCACCACAGACTTCATATAAGCACTTCCTTCCTCAGCTTATCTACCTGCTCCCACCACCAAGGTCAAACTAGCCTCTCTGTAGCTTCTCTTGCTCCCCTCCAACTATGACTCCATTGGACGCTTTGGTTAAAAACAGGAAATGGATTGGCTACCTGCCTAATCTCTTCTACAGCTTCCCACTGCTTAGAGAACAGATTCAGTCTATTCACTAGAGCTTAGAAGCTGAGTATCCTCTGACCCCTGCAATGTTGGTCCGTAAGTAACCTCCCCTTGCACCACTGACCTCTCCCCCGACCTCCGGAGCCTTAGCCAGAGACCTCTGGAATTTCTCCAACTCAGCCAGTTCTTTTCTGCCTGAAGGCCTGTGTATACACAGCTCACCTCATCACCTAGAAGCAGGGATCCAGACTCTTATAGTTTAGATATAAGGTTTCCCCAAAAAGTTCATCTGTGAGACAGTGCAGGAATGTCCAAAGGTGAAATGCATTATGAGAGATGCAATCTAATGGCAGATTGATCCACTGATGGATTTACTGTGTGGTAACTTTAGAGAGGTAGGATGTCGCCAGAGAAAGTAGTTTACTGGAGGCCTAACTTTTGGGTATATATTTCATCCTTGGTGAGCGGGCCTCTTTCTCTGCTCCTAGTTGCCATGTCCTGAGCTGTTTTCATCTACCTTGCCCTTCTGCCATGATGTTCTGCCTCATCTCAGACCTAGGGCTATAAAGTGAGCCATCAATATACTGAAACCTCTGAAATCATGAGCCAAAATAAGCTTTTCCTCTTCTAATTGTTTTTATCAGGTTTTATAATCCCAGTGATGAAAAAGCTGCCTGAAACACAGACCCTGACATGCCTACCTCCTCTCTATTCTTATGTCTTGTTTTCCAGGGTCACGTTCCAGGGCCTCCCCCACAACACTCTCTACAAAGTAGAATTTCTCTACCTTTCCCCTCAATTGTCAGGGCACTTTTCACACACTACAGTTATTCTGTTTACTACCTATCTCTCAAGGGAGATGTAACCCCATTATGACAGCAACCCTACCTTGTTCACTGCTGCAATTCCACTACTCAGGGACATAACAGATTTTTAACACTCAACCCATTTTTACTGAATAAATGAGGATCAATTATTTCATGTACAGAAATGAGCAGAAAGGGTTCCCAGGCTACATATCACATTCCAGCTACTATATAATATGACCTCTTCCTGAAGTCAATTAAATCTGATTTTATTTATCATGCTAAGGCCCTCTTCATAACAAAGAGAATTTTAGTTATTTTATTACAACATACCTACTTTCTAGAAGGAATAGGAGATGGCTTATTTCTTCACCATAGTCCTCTGACTTATGAACTTGTCAACTATGGTTTTGTCAATCACAGGACTAAAAAGCAATTCTCATAGATATAACAGTAAGAATGACAATTACAATAATAACTAACATGTACTAAGTATTTTGCAAAGGTCAGGTGGTGAGCACTTTATGTGTGCCCACATATATCTGTAAGAATATACTATTATTCTTCCCATTAAAGTGCCCACATATATCTGTAATAATATACTATTATTCTCCCCATTTTACAGACAAGTATGCTTGTCTGAGTGGTTTCACAGATCATGAATACAGTGAAACTGAAACTTAGCTTCAGAGTACAGCGCCTCATAAAAGGGAAAAGCACAAAGCCACTAATAACAAAAAGGTAAAAAGAGGTAAGATAACTGAAGGTAGAGTAGAGGAAATAGCCATGTTAAAAGATCTGGCTAAGAGCTGGTCATGGTGATGCAAATGTGTAACCCCAGAAGCTAGGGAGGCTAAGGCAGGAGGATGTGGCTCAGTGGTTAAGCACCCTGGGTTCAATACCTGTACCAAAAACAAAAACAAAGATTTGGCTAAGAAAGTTCCATTTGAACCCAAGTAAGATATTAAGCTTTCTATCAGCTAAGGTAAAATAGAATAAAATCAGTTTATACTAAACTGATTAAAAACTAATTAAAAATTGAAATTGTTGAATAATTTCAATAACTTACTTACCCCCCCTGCTTTTGGTAATGCTGGGGATACAACCCAAGGTCTCATGAACATTAGTCAAACCTTCACCACTGAGCTACATCCCCTCAATAACTTACTTTTTCCTCAATAACTTACTTTTTAAAGCACATGGTTATTCTAGACAACACTTAAAAAACTTTCTCAAAAGCAATATCTGAATCAATTCAGTTAACTTTGAGTCATAAATCTTAAATCAAGAATCAAAAGTGACATTTTAAAATGCAAAATTTTTTTTATATACAAGTTGTTTTGTTTTTTGTTCTTTTTTGTTTTGTTTTGTTTTGCCTATAAAACCTTTTATCAACCCCTACTTTTGCTGATCAAACCAAATTTTCACTAAAACCATGTACTAACATAAATTAGTGAAAAATTATTATTAGTGAAAAAGAATAACACTTTATCTGAAGTGTTATTCCTAGGAAAACATTCATTTTCCACTTATTCATACTAACAACATATTCACAAGGCAGGTTTGTTTAAAAGTCTGTATTAAAAAATTGCTTCCTGCCCAAACTATTTGGGAACATAAGTCAGGGAAAATTTTTGTAGCTCTAACTAAAAACACATTGTTTCTGGCAACCATAACCTAAGCACATTTCTACATTTTCCCTGAACATTAGAAATGCATGTAAGTAAGGCAAAAACTAAAAAAAGGAAAACTTCAAAAATGGTTTTGGCTATGAACTTAAATGTTTCTACTTTGGCTGGAAGGAAAAATAATAAAATCTATTAAATTTTCATTTTACACACAGATATTATAGTGAGTTAACATGCTCCTACCTGATAAGATCTTCTCTGTCTTGAAAAATTTGTGTTTTCCGATTGACGGTATAACTAGGAAACTCCATTCGGCCGAGACTGACCAACAGCACAGTAGAAAGCTGACCTTGACCACCACAAGCAGCTTCTTCATCTTCCATGGCATCTGTCAATGAAAACAGTAGCAAGATCCGGGAAAACACAGCCCTAGGGCCTTTACAGACTCGTAGTGACTGTCCAGCCAAGTCTTTGGCTCTGCAAAAATATATAATATAGAAATGTCCTTCTGGTTATTAAGCATTTAAATGTCAGATTTTGTATATTAGTCTCAGGTACAATAAAGGTAAATGGCACTCATTATCCTAAACCTAAAGCAAATCTACCACCTCCAACCATGTGAAACTTAACCTCTCCAGAGCTCAGAGTCCCACTTAGGGACACAGGATTGATTGAATTTATGTCTTCAAATGGTTTCACATATGGTTTGGCTCAATAAAAGTGTTTCCTTCCCTAACCACAGAATAGGATGAGGTTTAGCATGGTCATGAACACTTAAAATATCAAGAAAACTCATAAAAGTAATATCTCTTCAACATCACTAATTCTCAGCTATTGATTTTGGTAGCAACTTAGATTAAAGAATAAATATTTATTTAAAATGTCACTAACAAAAGCTCTTGGTAAGGCAGCATCATTTGTGTACCTGGAAATGGTACAAATCTGTACCAAGGTTTGGTGCTATTTACTAATGTACAAAGTAGTCCAGAAACATCTCCATTCCATGGTCATCTCAGAGAGAATTCAGTTCAATTCTGGATGTCGGCAGTGTGGGTTTGAAGGTCTGAATTAAAGTCTAGAACTTGTAGCAGGGTTTCTCAGCCTCAGCACTACTGTATTTAGGCTGGATAATACTTCGTTGTCGGGTCTATCTCATGCCTCAGATGATGTTCAGCAGCATCTCTGATCTCTACTCAATGGAAGCCATTAGCACCAGCATCTCCAGTGATGGCAACCAAACATGTGCCCAGATGATGCCAAATACTCCCTGGTGGTTAAAAATCACTTGAGAACCACTACCCTGGTAAGGACTTCATACCAACTCATCCAAAAGATATGAAACCAAAAGCAGACAGTGCTGCATACCTGGGAGCAATAGTGCTCCCATCAGAGACCTGAGGGAAAAGAGTAGGGCTCCTATCACACCATCATTTTATTGAAAACTATTCATCTATACAGACTGTCAAAAAGTACCCACTTCTGCTGGCCACAGTGGTATATACCTATAATCCCAGTGACTCAGGAGGCTGAGGAGGAGTCAGATTCATCAATTTAGCAAAATCCTAAGCAACACAGTGCAACCATGTTTCAAGAATTTACATGTTTCATAGAATTTACAGGGAAATGGATGGCATTAGAGCAGATTATGCTAAGTGAAGCTAGCCAATCCCTAAAAAACAAATGCCAAATGTATTCTTTGATATAAAGAAAGTAACTAAGAACAGAGTAGGGACGAAGAACAGGAGAAGAAGATTAACATTTAACAGGGATGAGAGGTGGGAGGGAAAGGGAGAGAGAAGGTAAATTGCACGGTAATGGAAGGAGACCCTCAGGGTTATACAGTGGAGGGGGTAGAGAGAGAGGAGGGGAGGGGAGGGGAGAGGTGGGGAGGGGGGAGGGTGGATGATGGGAAAGGCAGCGGAGCACAACAGACACTAGTATGGCAATATGTAAATCAATGGATGTGTAACTGATGTGAATCTGCAATCTGTGTATGGGGTGAAGGTGGGAGTTCATAACCCACTAGAATCAAAGTGTGGAATATGATATGTCAAGAAATTTGTAATGTTTTGAACAACCCACAATAAAAAATTAAAAAAAGAAAAAAAAAAAAAAAAAAAAGATTTAAAAATTACCTAAGAATTTACTGTCTTTGTTCTATTGACTATTGTTTTTGGTGCTAGAAATTAAAATGGTTTTTTTTTGTTTTCTTTTGTTTTGTTTGGACAGAGGATTGCACCCAGGGGCACTTTACTACTGTGATGAATCCCAATCCCTTTTATTTTTTTATTTTGAGACAGCATCTCGCTAAGTTACTGAGTGTGACCTTGAACTTGTGATCCTCCTGCCTCAGCCTCCTGAGTCACTGGGATTACAGGCATGTGCAACTGAGCCTGGCTAGTATGATCTTAAGCTTAAAATAAGCTAAAAAAGAACCTAAGTTATTATAAATAAGGCTCTTTCAGGTCTCTCAATCTAATTTCAACTGAAATAAGGATTACAATTATAAAAAGCATACAATCTACAATAAGTTAGCACTTGTTATCAACATTTTAAATAATTTTACTCTTATAAAGTGAACAAACCTTTTTAAAATCACTGCTCTGATTCCAGACTGACTCTTGCCCCAAGTGCAGACTGAACGCTGTTTGGCCAATTTGAGAAAGTCATCCACTAGCTGCTGTTTCTGTCCATTGGGATTTACCAAGTGGAAGGTCTTAGCCAGAGTTTTCAGCTCAGGAGCAGAAAGAAGTTCAAGCACTTCAGAGAGTTCTTGCAACTCAGATTCTGAAACAGTTTTTTTAAAAAAAGTGAAAAATTGTTCTAAGGAATTTTACTACTTTCTACTAAGTAGAATAGTAAAAGAAAGAAGGAAGTATAATGCCTTCCACTGTCATATATAAATAAAAAAATTAAAAAAAGAAGGAAGCTTAGATAGATACAAATAAAGTGAATTTTTACTGTATAAAATTTAAGTAGTTTGCCAAAACCCAAAACTAATTTGGTGCGTTTGCCAAATTCTCTCCATTAAAGACCATGGAAGATAGATACATCTTAAAAGTTCTGAAATAACAGAATTTCTCACAAAAAGGAAAATGTGACTACAAAAAAAGATACATGTGGAAAGCTATTATCGTTTGGGCATGCTGCTCAAATAGATTACTTGACTATACATTCCCTATCTTTGTCATTACAAAACCTCCAAAAGGACTTTCCAAACCAGGTTAGAGTGATCATCCTCTTCTCCCCACAGTCCCTTCCCTGCTCACATTCTTCAGACTGGAAATCCTTTCATTGGCTCACTCATTTGGCACACAGAAATCATACTCTGCTTTTATGGGCCCCAGACACCACACCAGGCCCTACACATTTGGCCTGGCTGGTCTCTGCCTAAAAGACACTCACAGTTTAAGCAGTGCCTTCTTACACACAACAAATATTTACTAAATGTGCACTCATGCCGGGTGATGTTAAGACCCTGGGCACACTACAAGGTCTTTTTGTGGAAATTGCCTTTCCACAAGAAGCTTACCTCCTGGCATAGTAAATAAAACAATGATTATACGTTAGGTGGTTGTAACTACTAGAAGAAGAAAGAAACAGGTGAGATAAAGGGAGCCTCACAGGGAGGCTGGCCGTTTCACACAGGGTAGTCAGGCAAATTTCTGATGAGCTAACATGGCACAGAGGTGAATGGAACCAGGAATAAGCCACGTGGCCAGACAATGGAAACTCTCCTACATGGAGGGGATATTAAGGCCAAGGTTCTGAAACAGGAGTGCACTCAGCATGGTGAAGAGCACTGAAGCTGTGTGGCTGCAGCAGAGGGAGTGAGAGGGCAGCCACAAGGTCAGAGAAACAGCCAGAGAGATGTTGCATCATCAGTAGGGCTTGGATTTGACTGAGTGCAATGATGAAACATCTGGGTTCTGGTTTTGTTACTGAAAGGTTATTTAAAGGTAGGTCACAGCAGCAGTCAGCTGGGATGCTGGTCAACCATATCAATTTATGGAATCTGCCCAGATCTTTCCCATCAAGTAGAGATCAAGATTCCCTTTCCCAGGTGGCCCTGATGTCAACAACATGTGGGAAGCAATGCTCCATGGAGGGCCTCAGATTCTACTACCTAACTACTCATATCCAAGCTCTTTTGCTGAGCCTCCATGACTTCCCCCCATGTTCCCTATGTCCATCCTATCTAGCCCCACCCTAACATCCTAACTTCATCTTTACCTGCTGCTCTCCCATAACAAACTCTGTCCCAAAGGAACCATTTGGCTCAATTTGCTTATTTTGCTAAAATGTAAGCAACCTGAATCTAAAGCTCACCAGTTTTCGTTTTCCTCATAACGAAGTTTCCACACAATATCATGTAAGTAGGTATTCAGTGAAGACTACTGACAAGACAACCCAGGGTATCATTGGAGAAGACATATTCTCCTTTACTGTTTACATAGGTTTAAATCAATTAAAAATTCTCCAGGCAATCAATGCATAAGAGCTGTATGTGTGTGCACATGTGGGTAGATGAAGTTTTTAGAAGAAACACATATTTCAAATAAGCCAGCCTTGTTCTTTTATAAAGATGGAAGAATCTGAGTAAAATTACTCAACTTCTTGCTGGAAAGACAGAGACAAGGAGGTATGCATTTCTTCTGTGGCACAATCTCTACCTGGGTGATTTCATGGTCTTAAAACTGCAAGTCAGGAAAGCAAGAGCAGACAAGTTTTCACTGTCCTGGTGGTCTTATCTCATCACATAAATAATCTGTTGCACTAAGTTTAAAAACTTGATTTTAAAAAAGCAATTACTATTACCAGGCAGCAACCAGGAGATGGCACCATACTAACAGTACCATCATTCTGCAGAAACTGAACTCTTCAGGTTACCATTTCATCTTTCAGTATCATCTACTGATCATACCTGTCTGGAGAAAGCCTGCGTGCTTCAATTCTTCAATCACAGGTATTAAGTCTGAAGCAATCTCTTCATATTCTAATTTATTCATCTTAATCCAGCTTAATTTACGTTGAAAGAGCCTTACATATAACTTCTGACCACTAGCTGTGATAAAGTTAAGAGAAATAGGAAAAATATTACTTTTTTTTTCTCAAAAACAATATACAAATTACCCATTTACTTTTAAAATTTGAAGTGAGTAAATATACTATATTAGGAATATACATTTTCTTACCTTATGTATAATGATATAATTTCATATAAGTCATTTTACAAAGTTCCAATTTAGTAATGAACATGAGTCATTTTAAAACTTCTAAAATCAAATCCCCCTATTTTCTAGTCAACATTTCTTCTTCCTAAGAGAAACCCTACCTACAATTCTAGTTATTTTGTTCTCTGCTTTCAGTTTAATATACATTAGTCCATTTAGGGCCAAAAATAGTCTGAATTTTCCAAAACAGTGCCTAGCTTAGATAGGACAGTCATCTCTACCTCAGAGTTCTATTCCAACTTACATAATTAACCTGTTAGGTCTATTTCCTTACTACTTGAATTATTTTTAAATTTCTGCCACCTCTAAAATAATATTATAGCTTTTAAATTTTTCTACATTTTCCTTTCTTTCCTTCAAAGAGGCAGCTTTTACTTAAGACACATTGTATGTGATTCTCCATGGGAAGCAATACAATGAATTTGTTAAACTTGCACAAGGTAAACTGTTCATATTTTCCAGTTATATGGAGGCCCAGATCCATCAACTACTCAAAAAGTCACATAAGCTGGGCATGGTGGCACACATCTGTAATTCCGAAGCAGGAGGACTGCAAATTCAAAATCAGTCTGAGCAACTCAGTAAGACCCTATCTCTAAATAAAATATAAAATAGGGCTGGGGATGTTGCTGAGTGGTTAAGAGCCCCTGAGTTCAATCCCCAGTATCCCCCCCCAAAAAAGTCAATATAATCAGCACCCATCCAAAGAACTGTGGCCAGTCTGGATTAAAGAGCCAATATGATGCCTTTATGTCCATACCCAGGTGAGACAAGAATGAGATGGAGGCTGTATGGACACTTTACACAACTTGCCGAGAGAAGGGCAAGTCACCTGTTAAAAAATAATACAAGGAATATCCTGATAATTCCACTGTGTGTAGTTTCTTAAATATTAGTAGTAGCTGGGTGTGGTGGTACACACCTGTAATCCCAGGTACTTAGGAGGCTGAGGAAGGAGGATCCCAAGTTTGAGGCCAGCCTGGGCAACTTAACAAGACCCAAACTCAAAATAACAATAAAAGCATTAAATATTAGTAGCAACATCTAGGATGTTTTTCTTTTAATCAACTGAAGAGACAGACACGCCCATACTGCACAAGAGGACAGTGTGAAAACCATGTAAACAGTTCAGCCACAAAGTAAGCTATTTCGACCTTGAAGTGATTCAGTTCTAGAACCATCATGACCCTTTGTAACAGGGCAGCCACGCCAGGGTGCCCTTTTCTTCAAACCTGCAAGACCAACTTGGTGCCACCACTGGCTAATGATTTGAGGCACAGACTAATATTTTTAAAGGTACCAATTTAAGCCTGAGAGCTTCCATTTTCTCTACAACCTGACTTGAAGAGGTCGAGTCCAGGAATCTAAACACTGTTGGAAAAAATTGTGCCTCAGATTGGTTTGTTATTTTTCCTAAATTTTATATTATTTTACTTTCATTTTTGAGGAAATGAACTGTGAAAACAAAACAATCTAACAGGAAGCTTGATTACATGCCTAAAATGCAAAGTTATGTTTTTTTTCAGTATATTTTAAAAAAAATCTGGCAGGGTCATTTTACATCCATCAAACATATCTATAAAGGAAAAAACAACTGCTTCCATGGCAATCCAAGTACTGCTTGCACAGTAGATAGCACCTACCTGCATATCCTTGATACAAATCTTATAGGAAGCTCGGATTCCCATTTACAAAATCACAATGATTTCTACCAGTCATTAGGTCACTGCCCATCACATCACCCTTCAATTAGGACAGCAAATGGAAAACAAAAAATTGAAAGCAAACAGGCTGAAGATACCTGATAATTGAAGAAATTTACTTATAATTCCCTTCTCCTCTTCATCAAAGAGCATCATATCATCTTCATTCTCAAGTACAGCTTTCAGTACCACATGGAAATTCCGAAGATAGTAAGGATGACTCAGTGTTTGAGGCATCTTATCAGGAACACCACAGCTTGACCCTTGCTCCACAGCAGTGCTGCAAGTGATTTTACTCTTTAAGCCACTCTCACCTTCCAAAACTTCTTGAAAGTTACTCCACTCAGAAGCAATTGTAGAACTTGGAAAATTTGCCTCTGAATTTGACAACTGTGTTTTAAGTTCTGAAACAACAGTCATTTCTACTTCTTTACAATTACATGCCTCACGTTTTTCAACACCTTTATCATCTATAACTTTGACATTCTCTTGCTTTACAAGACTATCTTCTGAAGTATACTTTAAATTATTCCCAAGGAATAAATCTGGAGAAAATAACGTGGGAACTTTATCAGAGAACCCAGGGGTAAGGGTGAATTTCCCACATTTCTGAGCAGTCTTTTGGCTTTCAGCTTCCACTATTTTATCACCTTTTACCATAGGTTCAGAAATATTCTCTTCCTTTAGAGAATCACATGTAAAAATATTTTCTTTTTGAGAACTGTTCTCCAAAATTTGATCCTTGTCAATTTCTGAGCAGTTAGCAATCAGGCTTTTAACAGCTGTGGATGTGGAACTCTGTAGACAATTATTGGTAAATTCCTCATTCTTACTTACTGACTTTTTAGCCTTTATGTATTTCCTGGACAATTTAGATGACAGGCTTCCCAAAGAAATGACTTTCACAGAATGATTTCTCAGCTCATCTTGATTTTTGCACACCAAGGCATCAGTACTTTTAAAGTAAGGACTGGTCTGCTGTTTTGCGCTCATTTTTGCCAAACCACTTTGGTGAGGGATTGGACTTGTCTTTGGTGGTGACTTCCTTGGTCTTACATCTTCTAAGGCAGTATTCGTTAAATCTACTGTGGTCACATTTGAATTCATTAAGTTAACCTGTACTGGATTCGTTTGAATGACATCACCATTGTTAGCACACATTTCATCAAGGTGCTGGTTTAAGTTATACCGGGGCACCATTTTACTACAAATGGGGCAAGCAAGTTTAGCAGGTGGTGCATTATTAAAATACGAAACAATAGAGTTAGATGAATTTTTTTTAGTTTTGTTGATTGATAAGCTTCTCCGAGGTCTTTTTTTGTCAGGCGATTTCCCTTCTGACATTATGAGTATTAGAAAAATTGGGTGATCCAAGTAATAAAACACAGGCTATTTCTGGTGAAAGATAGCAATGCTTTACTTTTACTCTTTTGGCTTGAACTAATAAAAACGGGGACTTTATGTAACCTCATGTTATTCGTTTAAATTTCTTCTTCCTACAAAATAAAACATATATGGGTTAAAACCACCTTCATGAAATTAAACATGGAATGTCAACATTTCCTGGGACAAGAGAACCCTAGGCTTGAGACAGAACACGGAGGCTGCACGCAATTTTAATGTCTTTTATCATAAAATAACATAACTAGACTTATAAGGTTAACTTATAAAGTTAAGACCCTTTTAACATCTAAAATTACCCGTTTTTAAAAAGGGATTTTTTTCACTACTCCAGATCCTTCTATAAAAGCACAGCATCCATAACATTTTCCGTGGGAGATGGTGCCCATCGGGATGGTTCCCCAGGGCAGCTCCCGCCTCAGGCCTGCACAGACGAGCGCCCACAGTTGTCGCGGGGATCTGCAAACACGCGTGGTTGCCACAGCCACAGCTTCCGCTGCAAAGCCCCTGGGGGCTAGAGAGCACCGCCAGAGCAGCAAGGCCAAATCCGCGGGAACCTGGGTAGCGCACCCGCGGCCACGCGACTGCCCTGCGTCCTCCCGCCCTGCGCCCCTCCCCTTCCTCCCTTTGAGCTGGCCCTGAGCTCCACTCACGATTCGTCCCCGCCGCCCCGACTTCCCTCCAGGCTCCGCGCGCTGGCACTCTAGGCATTCCCAGCCGATCTAGCGTCTCGATTCCACAGGCTCAGCAAGAGGAGGCTCGAGTAATCGATCTCCTTTCCTTGCCTCCTAGAAAATCCCAAACTGATGGGCTCACACTAGCTGTGACCCTGAGGGAGACCTAGATACCTCCTAACTTTCACACTTGGGCAGTGCGCCCCAGCACACCTTTTCTGTGGCTGAGTAGACTTAATATATGTGGTAACAATAGCAAAAGGGAGAAGAATGCAAATGAAACTATACTATTGCATGGTCTTACTTTTTAAATGAAGAGGTACCATATTAATTCCAAGTAGACTGTGATAAGTTTGCATATTGTAGTTCCTAGAAAAACTAAAAATTGATGCAAAGCGGTAGAGCTAAAATATTAGTGGAGAAACTAACATTTGATAGTAAAGAGATTAGGAAAGGAGAGCAGGAGAAGAAAGCCTAAGACTTCTCCTGAGAGAAGTCTATGTTACCCCTTTAAAAAAAATAAAGTTGTTTTTTTTTTGTTTGTTTGTTTTTGGTTTTTCTCTAGATGTAGTTGGGCACAGTACCTTTATTTATTTATTTGTTTGTTTTTATGTGGTGCTGAGGATCTAACCCAGGGTTTAGCACGGGCTAGGCGAGCTCTCTATCGCTGAGCCACAATCCCAGCCCATAAACTCTGCTTTTTATGCTTGCCTCCTCATGCTTTTCTAAAGTCAGATTTCAACACGTGAGGGAGCAGAACTCATCACTGGTAAGCAACCAGAGGTATCACAAACATACAGTATTCAAATACTAACCAAAATAACTGTAATGCTATATTGAAACAAAGTAGTCTTCCTGATGGGAGTAACTACCAGAAAAAAAACAAGGTCATTTTATAGTCAAGTCAAAAGAGGCAATTCATAAACAAGGCATCAAAATCATAAACAGGCATACACCTATTAACAAAGTTTCTAAGCAAATGAAAAAAAAAAACCTATACAGAAAGAAATAAGTAAATGCTAGAACTAGACAAAAAAAAATCACTAAAGATACAGAATATCTGAAAAATAAACTGTCAAAGCTTTGGACTAATTGAAATATAGAACATTATACTTAACTGTACACATTTCTTCCTTTTCCCAGTGTTATAGAGTTAATAATTCTGAAGCTACTTCCTGTATATTTTAGGCTTGTGCAAATTAATAAATAGATTGTAACTTATGGTGGTGTTTAATTGGAATTGGAGGTATTGGTATGAACTCATGAATGGCATACGTATCACATATTCCCCCAACTTTTATCCCCATAGGCACACAATCATAATTTTCTGCCTCTGTTGAATGGGCCTAGTAGCAATGAGACACAAGAAATTGGGCTATAAATATCATTCTCTATTAGGGAAAATGGGCTCCTTCAGAAAATGACTGATTCCAAGGAAAGTAAAAGATAAGAATGGAACATATAATAGCAACAGAAAATAAAAATGCTCAAAGAACAATAGGGGCATATCAAAAGGACTCAGGAGTAACTTCAAAAGGTCTTCTGCTGTTCAATTCAGAGACAATTAGAGCATCAAAGCAAATAATGATAAAGAACTATAAAGCATTACATAACATAAAAATCAGATCCAAATTGAGATAAATAAATGAGAAGGGAAAGCTGCTCCTTATAGTAGAATGCCAACCAGTTTGTATAGAAGAAATAAATCAACAACTGATGCTGTAATTGGTAAGTGAAAGTCTGATGAGGAACAGATATTCATAGCATCAAAGTGTCTTCCTCATAAGTGACCAATTAAAAAGGAAAATATTAAATTTCCAGTGGGGAAACCTGGTGGCCATTACCTTAATCAAATGATCATTGCCATTATTAGCTTAATTAGGACAAAATATCTTTATATGAGGCACTGAAGACATCCACTGCTGTGGTTTTCCTGCCCACATTGTGTAACCTAGATCTAATCATGAGAAAATACGAATCAAAATCTGTACACTTAAAAAATGTTAGTGAAGAAAGACAAAACTCAGGAACTTTAACAGGTAACTGGAAAACAGAGACACGACAATGAAATACAAGTGATCTTGGAATGATCCTGGACTAGGAGGGAAAACTATGAAGGATACTATTGGGACAATTGGCAAAATTTGATTATAGGCTATAGATTATATAATTTTATTCATGATTTTGATTATATTGTGTTGCTATGTAAGTGAAGGACCTTATTCTTGGGAAATACTCAGGTATTGATAGGTGAAGGACCATACAACTTGTTCAGAAAAAAGAGAATGAGGCAAATGGGGCTAAAATTATTAGAATTTTCTGGAATTTTAAAATTTCAAAATGTATAAACCTCTTTAAAATGATGCACAGGGGGCATGGGAGTGTAACCCAGTGGTAAAGTATTTGCCTAGCATGTATACAAGGCCCTAGTTTCAATTCCCAGCACTGAAAAAAATGAAAAAAAAAATACACAGGGGGAAAAACATGACAAAATACTCAATTTTACCAACAATCAGAGACACACAGACATGCAATATTTTTTACCCACTAGAAGGGCAAAAGTATTATTTTAAGTTCACCAATAACAAATACTGACAAAGATGTAACAGAAGTGCAAATTTTTGCAACTAATCTGGAAAACAATTTGGCATTGTTTTAGAAGGTCCACCTAGCAATTCTATTCTTAGATGAGAGCTAAATTTTTAACACTGTGATCAGGAGGTCAAAACGTCATATTCATCATAGTGGAAACCGGACATCAATGTGTTCAAGAGAATGGGCAAATAAAATTGTAGTATATTCATACAATATTATGCAGCAGTAAAATGATGCATAATTTCAAATACACATAGTTGTCTCTTTGGATCTGTGGGGGATTGGCTCCAGGATCCTACAAATACCAAAATCCATGAATGCTCAAGTCTCTTGTACAAAATGGTGTCATGTTGCATAGAATCAAAGCATGCTCTCCTGTATTCATTAAATAATCCCTAGATGAATTATACCTAATATGTTATATAAATAATTCTTATATTATTTATTGGGGAATAACAAGAAAGAAAAGTCTGTACATGTTCTGCACAGATGCAATTTTTTTTCTTCCCAAATAGCTGGGATTACAGGCATGTGCCACTATTATATTTTTGATCCAGCATTGGTTGAATCCACAGTTGCAAAACCTACAGAGGGATGACTATATTTTGAATGAATTTGAGAGAAATCAAATGAAAAAATAAACCAAATAAAAACACATTCTATTTTCATAATTCAAATGCTAGCAAATGCCCAATAATATATTGCCTTGAGATACATGCTTGTGTGATAAAATATATACAAATTGAAAGGAATGATGAACAGCCCACTCAGATATAACCACCATTTATTTCCTCCTTAGCTCTCTCTAGTGATGAGTGAAGTATTGGGGAGGTACCCAAGTGTTGGTTTTCAGGTTAAGGGTAGTTTCATGAATGTCCTATTGTATTTCTCATGTATATACAAGATGTGTGTAAATATTCTACTACAATGCATTTTTTTTTTAATAAGGGAAGGATTTTTCTGTGGTTCCAACAACAATGCCTGGCCTCTGGTACAAACAAGAATCTATAATGAATATAAACTGTAGAATACATCAAATATCACATTGAAAAAGTGAATGGACTGACACATCTTTCCTAGAAGTGAAGATATTAAAACACAAAGCAAATATAAAGGTGATATAAACTCTGTGAATACCTAATTATCCTTGGACAGATAAAATGAATCACCTCTCCAAGTCAACACCTAATCCTGACAAATAAAATAATCAAGAGAAAGAGAATTAAGCCAGTAATGAGTAGAAACTGGAAAGCAGTTGTAACTTCAAAAGAACTACAAAATATAAACTCCTAGAGCGATGTGATACTCAAATCATCACTGAAAAATACCACCTTTGCTAAGCCTAGGAGACCAGAGGATACTCAAAGTACTTGGTTAGATGATGAAGGTATACTAGTGAACTCTATTTTATGTTTTTAATATTTATTTTATTTATTTTTATATGGTGCTGAGGATCAAACCCAGGTCCTCACACATGCTAGGCGAGCACTCTACCGCTTGGACTAAAAAAATTACAAGTCAGTATTTATAGGTGCTATAATCTTCCAAATTCATGTGTTGAAACTTCATGGTCAATGTGATGGTGTTAAGAGATAGGACTATTAGGAAATGATTAATAATAGCATAGCCCAAAGGGATGGGATTTGCACACTTGATAAAGAACTTGAGGGAGTGAATTCTGACCCCTTTTGTCCTTTTGCCATGTGAGGACACAGGAACAAAGCACCATTTTGAAGCACAGACCCATTACCAGACACCAAACTTGCTTGTCCTTTGACCTTGAACTTTCCGGCCTCCAGAGTTATAAGAAGCTAAATTTTATTGTCTATCAATTACACAGTCTTAGGAATTGTTATAATAGCTCAAAAGGACTGAGAGTTGGTGCTTAATTGAGCTCAGTATAACCTAGTTCTTTCCAGCTGAAAACAGCTTCTGCATTAATAAACAAACTTCCACAGGATTTTTTATACTGGCCTCTGTAGACACTAAACCGGAGGGCTTTCCCTGTTGCTTTGGGTGAATCCTGTTCTCACTCTCTACTCACATGGGCTTAGGTTTTAATGCATTCCTGTGAAATCATAATATGAGATCATACTAGACAAACACATTTTTCCTGAATGGGGAGGTTGAAACAATGAGCAGCTAGTGGTCAGAGCCAGCTCTCTGCAGACTGTTAGTTCACCTTCCTGGCTGCATTGAACTTCCATCACTTTTAGATTATACCTGTACTCTCTGTATCTGATTACAGACAGTAATCTGTAGTTTAGTCTAACTCTTTAGTCAGGTAACATGGGTTCTTTTCCAAAGAGAAAAGGTATAAATGAATCAAAATGCTA